TCACTATACTCACCACAGTCACGTTCATCACTATACTCACCACAGTCACGTTCATCACTGTACTCACCACAGTCACGTTCATCACTGTACTCACCACAGTCACGTTCATCACTATACTCACCACAGTCACGTTCATCACTATACTCACCACAGTCACGTTCATCACTATACTCACCACAGTCACGTTCATCACTATAGTCGCCACAGTCGTTGTCACCATCGCAGCGCACGGAGAGCGGCAGACACTCGCCTGTCCCGCAGGCGAACTGCCCGACGTCACACTCGCCTGCGCGAGAACTCGATTAAACTCCGAGTTATGCTTTTATTAAACAACTTGTATACGATGTGTTAACCGTCGTCAATGCTATTCGTACCTGATGGCCTGATAACGGTAGTTACCGTCACCAGAAAGAAAATTCAATTCAATATCTAAATCTTGCCCTCAGATCGGTTGACTCAGTCAGAGTCAAGCTAGATGATCATTTTTACTGGGAATAACATAACCGAATGAATTGAGAATGAATGCGGATTTTCTGAAATAAGATTTAAATATAAATATAAAAGCCTACTTTTTAAGCTAGGGAGTAGTTAAAAATTTTTTGACAACAGCAAGCAATATAACATGATGCATTATTAAGGCATGCAAGCGATTGTTAAAAGAACCATTTACAGTGGCAATCTGACTTTCAAGTCAGAAAGCAAAGCTTTGACAACACAGAGTTGTACAGACAGGATTGCTTGCTTGTATTCAATGTTGGAGATGAGACGCTAGCTGGCAGCAAGATGGGGCTCATTGACCATGGATTGCTCTTCCGAAAACGAAGACTTCTTTGGGATCAGATTAGAGTTACTGGCGGAGGGTAAGAAAGCTCTAGCAACTATGTCGAGCCACGCCTCGATATCGTCATATGCTGACGACACCATGGGCAGGGTGTTGGGGACGATCACAGACAAAGTGGGTTGCGAAAGGTTACAAGGAGACCTTTTTGCAATATACGACTGGACACAAGTGAAGTGAATAACATGCAAATCAGTGGCACCAAGTGATATGTTCTGAGATACAAAGCTAGCGGAAGAATCTGAATAGAACGGCATTACCTGTCATCTGATGGCTCGGAAATTGAAAGGAAGCAACTGCTTCGCGTTGATGAATACCCAGGTCAAAACGTGTGTTCAGATAGCGGCAATAACTGCAAGAGACAGATCCTGATGGAGTGAATCAGCTTGTATATGTACATTCAGGATAATAGAAGCGGAACCGATGATCACACTCTTCACAGTCTTTGCGGTTCCTTTCCTTGAGTACTGCTGCCAGCTTTAGACATCGTTCACGATGGTGGCAAAGCGGCAATTGAAATTCATCTAGCGAATTTTTGAAATAACGAAACGAGAGAAGGGGGAGACTGTGCACTGCGCAGGATCAACGCTACAGAGATACGGTCAGATTTCAAGGATCCCTATTCTTGGCGTGCCAAGGTTGTTTGACGTCTTGCTGATGGAGTTATAAGGAAAAGAGTTTAACATAGAGACATTCAAGAAACTGAATGTGTTCCTGGGAACAATCCGAAGAGCCTTTGTTCCCACTAAAAAGCATAAAACAGCATCGTGCATCACCTGGCCCATCCGAGGGCATCAGCTGGCCCATCCGAGGGCATCAGCTGGCCCAACTGAGAGCAGATATGTACCACGGCCCTTCGGTGCCTCGGCGGCGGTAAAACTTGCCTGCGAGGCGGAGTATAGGGGCGCCACCCCAGCGAGACAGTTGTTCATTAATTGCATTTACGTGGCCAGAGACTTCAATGTTCAGAACCACAACAAACGATCAACATGCCAATGCGACAGATTAGAGTTACTGGCGGAGGGTAAGAAAGCTCTAGCAACTATGTCGAGCCTCGCTCACAATTGTGTATATCAACACGTACATCGGTACATGGGACATGTTCATTCACAATTGTGTACATCAACACGTACATGGGACATGTTCACTCACAATTACGTACATACAAATTAAGTGGACGTGTTCACTCACAGCTGTGTACAACAAAACGTACATGGAACATGTTCATGTGTTCACAACGCACATATATGAACATGTTACCGTGTTCACAACGCACATACATGAACATGTTCACGTGTTCACAGCGCACATATATGAACATGTTCACGTGTTTACAACGCACATACATGAACATGTTCACGTGTTCACAACGCACATACATGAACATGTTCACGTGTTTCACTGCAACGTCAGCCACTGCAACGTCTACTAAACGTACACACGTCTATTACGACGACACACTCATTGTCTTTTCCCAGACTTTCGAGCCAAAAAATTCAAACAAGTCAGGCATTAGTATGCGATTAATAAAGATAATCGTAATAAAATGTAGTAGTAATGTAGTAAATCAAAAATATTCTTAAAATTGCATCATAAATCGAATAATTATAATAGTAATAATAAAGCAACAGCAATTTTGAGAGTTACATCCGTTGTTTAGTTAGTATAACTGACAGATAAGTCAGTGGTAGCTTAAATAAAGCTTGTTAGAAAGCGCTCATGTTACGAGTGTTAAACGAGCAATTATTATATAGATGATATATTATTATATAGATTATATAAACCTACTAAATCAATAACCATGACATAAACAAGCAGATATTCAAATTCAAGTCATCCCGTATCCCTTGATCCTAAAACCAGCAAACTTTTTAAAATGTTCCCAATCAAAGAAAGCCTCGTTCAGCCCCATATTAAGCCTGTAAACCCCATGACAAACCTTTGCAATCTTAATCGAAACACGAATTTTCCATAATTATATAAAAGTAAAACTTATATTTCCTTTACATTATTATTATATATAAAGGAAAGATAACAACCCACCTGCATTGTTCTCACCCACGGGGCCCCCGCGCCCGGCGCTCGCAAGCACCACAACCAACACCTGAACTATGACGTCCATGAAGCTCAGAGTTGCTCTGACGCTTGCTCTGAGTCAGAGTACAAAGTACAGAGTATGACGCTTGCTCTGAGTCAGAGTACAAAGTACAGAGTATGACGCTTGCTCTGAGTCAGAGTACCAAGTACAGAGTCTGTCTCTTATACACATCTAGATGTGTATAAGAGACAGAGTATATATTGAGTTATAGGCCTTTTTGGCGCTTTTTTCTACGCGGACTTGGCCGTTTCTTAGGCCATCTGGCAACCCTAAAT